GGTATTATAGCAGTGTCCTTGTTAAGGCATGTCTCTGTATATCTGTTCTTCTGATATCCTCAGCCAACAAAAATGGCGGAAGATACTTCAGTAACTCAAAAGGTAGAAAGCTCACTTTCTTCTCCTACAACAAGTTTTTCAAAGGTTGATATCAACCCAAATCAAAGGCTTAGTTCAATCTTGTTGAATGAGTTTAATTATCTTTCGTGATCATGAGCAGTCACTTTGGCTTTTAGTGGAAGGGCTAAGCTCGGTTACATCAATGGAGTCATTCAAGCTCCTGAGATCACGTCTGCAACTTATGAAGCTTAGTTATGCAAAGACCAATTGGTCATGTCATGGTTGCTAAACTCGATGGAGAGGAAGATTGCAGAAATCTTCGGTTACTTAGATTCTTCGCAACATTTGTGGAAGCAAGTAAAAGAGATGTACGGGAATCAAAACAATTCAGCCCGAATCTTCCAACTCAAAAGAGATGTTGAAAGTCACAAACAGAAGGCCAAATCATTTGTGCAACACCTTGGTGATCTCACCACAATGTGGAATGAACTTGACGTCTATCGTCCTCATACCACAGACATTGTTGTGTTAGTAAAATGAGCTGAGGAAGATAAAATCTTCCAGCTGCTTGTTAGTTTGAGCCCAGACTATGAAGATCTTAGAAGTCACATCTTGATGAATCCAGAACTTCCTTCTTTTTCCAGCATGTATGCCATAATCCAACGTGAAGAGGTTAAGAGACGAGTCATGAAGTTGGACACAAAAGCATCCATGCAGGAGTCTCGAGCCTTTGCTTCGAGCCACTGGTCAGTTGAGGCCAAAAGTTACAAAGGAAAACATCCGGATTTGAAATGTGAACATTGTGTTACCATTGGGCTTCTGGGAATATGACATACCAAGGATAGATGTTAGGTCCTTCATCCTGAGTTGAAACCTAAATTCAACAAGGACAACAAGGGATTTTTCAAGGCATCTCAAAGCTCACCTTACAGAGCCAATCATGCTGCAAATGCTGCCTCCATTTCCACTAATAATGTGTTGGATTTCACTTCCAATCTAACCACGTTGTTGAACGAATTTGCAACATATCTTTCAAGGAAAAATGAGAATGGTGAAAGTGAAGAAGCTTCAAAAGGAGGAACCGAGAAGCACACTGCCCTCCTCAGGAAATTTGCTGGTTTTCTAGCCAAGGGTGTTCCACATGAAAACTCTTCAGGTATTCTCAATGCCTTTACAACTGCTCTAAGTACTAGTTTTGTGCATGATTGTTGGATTATAAACTCCGGTGCCACCGATCACATGACAAATCAAATTGAAAACTTGAGTGAGTTTAAAAACATGTCATCCAAGGTGTCTGTGGCTAATGGGAAATGGGTATTTGTACTAGGTAGTGGGAAAGTTCATTTAATCTCCAACAAAGTTGAGTCCACTGCACTTTTTGTACCCTCATTCCTATTTCAACTTATGTCCGTAGGAAAAATTACCAAAGCCCTAAATTGTCGTGCAATTTTCTCACCTCAAAATGTGATATTTTAGGACATAGCCACCAAGAAGACGATTGGTGAAGGTTTTTTTCTAAATGGCCTCTCAAGGGGGTTACAAGTTAGTTCAAGCCATCCTCAAGACCCTCAATTGTGGCATCAACGTCTAGCACACCCATCCGAGCCTATTTTGTGTAAGTTATTCCCTTGCTTGTGTCAAACACATATCAAGTGTGATACTTGTCATTTTTCAAAATTTGCTAGGTTGCTTTTTAGCTCTTCTTTGTCTAGAGCTAGTAAGCCTTTTGAAATTGTACACTCGGATGTTTGGGGTCCTATTCTCGAATCCTTTAATGGCAATAAATATTTTGTGACGTTTGTTGATGATTTCACTAGAACCACTTGGCTATATTATTGAAGTTTAAAAGTGAGGTTGCTAACATGTTTCAAGATTTTCACAAATTTGTCATCGCTCAATTTGATTCAAAAATTCAAATACTAAGATCGGATAATGGCACCGAATACATATCTAGCATCATGACTCAATACTTGAGCACTCATGGCATTCTTCACCAAACTAGTTGTGTTGGCACACCTCAACAAAATGGGGTGGCCGAGAGAAAAAATAGAGATCTTCTCGAGAAAACTCGTGCACTCATGATTCATATGAACATTCCCAAACGTTTTTGGTCTCAAGGTGTTCTCACTGCAACTTATCTCATTAATCGACTTCCTAGTTGAGTTTTGGAGTTCAAATCTCCTTATGAAATTCTCAAGAGGCATCCTATTGATCTATCACATTTAAGGGTATTTGGGAGTATTTGTTTTGTTCACATACAAACTCCTCACCGTGATAAGTTGGACCCTAGGGTTGTTAAATGTATTTTTATGGGTTATTCTTCAACTAAAAGAGGTTACGAATGTTTTAATCCTATCACTAACAAAGTTGTTATGTCAAGAGATGTCAAGTTTGAAGAGGACTCTCCTTACTTCACAAAGGATAAAAGTTCATGTCAGGGGGAGTTATTGCTTGATATTTTTCCGCTGCCAACTCCTAGCTCTGAAGAATATGATGCCACCAAGTTTGATTCTGACTCACAGCCCATCATACATTCAGTAGCACCGACATGTCTTTCGACTGAGTCACTGCCTGAGTTTAGTGACTTACCTCACTTCTCTGATCAAAATCATGACTCTTATGAGTCACATGAAGTTGCTGGAGTCCCTGCATCACAACCTTACATTTGACGAAATCCTTCACGTACTCGACAACCTCCTGCCAAATTTATTGACTATGTGACCTTTGATGTGCGTCATCCAATCTCTGATGTCCTAACATATCATAAATACTCACCATCACATGTTGCTTTCCTTGGTGTTATCTCTATACACCGTGAGCCTACAAATTTTCAAGAAGCAAACATGCACCAAGAATGGCAACAAGCTATGGCTGAAGAGTTAAAAGCACTACATGAAAATCATAGTTGGAGCATTGTTAACCTTCCCTAAGGTAAGAAAGCCGTTGGATGTCGTTGGATCTACAAAGATAAGTTCAATTCAGATGGGTCCTTCGAGAGACATAAAGCCAGATTAGTGGCTCGCGGCTTCACCCAAACGTTTGGGGTGGACTACAAAGAAACGTTTGCTCCAGTAGCCAAGATGAACACTGTGCAAGTTCTTCTCTCTGTGGCAGTTAACTTTGGATGGTCTCTATTTCAAATGGATGTTAAAAATGCGTTTCTACATGGAGAACTTGAAGATGAGGTCTACATGCAATTGCCTTTAGGCCATCCTCAAGCCTCCACTGAATGGGTTATTTGCAAACTGCACAAGACGATATATGGTTTAAAATAGTCCCCGCGTGCTTGGTATTCAAAACTAAGTTCAGTGTTGGAGAAAGTGGGATTCACAAGCAGCAATGCCGACTCTTCACTACCGACTCTTCACTATTTGTTCGCATTAGGTTAGCTGAAATATTGGTCGTCTTGATTTATGTTGACAATCTAATTATCACAGGTGATAATATGGATGAGATTACTTCTCTAAAAAAGGCCCTCCATAAACAGTTTGCCATCAAGGATCTTGGTAGGTTGAAATATTTCCTTGGTATCGAGATGGCTACCTTTTCCAAGGGTTTGTTCTTAAATCAACGGAAGTATGTGATGGATTTTCTCCATGACTCAAATATGCTTGACTGTAAACCAGCCTTTACTCCCTTGGATTGCAAGTTTAAGGTAGATATGGGAGGTGAGCTGCTCACAAATGTTAGCTATTATCAGAGGTTGATGGGCAAGTTAATTTATCTCACCATTACTCGTCTTGACATCACCCATGTAGTGAGTTTAGTGAGCAAATTTATGCATTCTCCTACTGTCAAACACCTTAATGTTATCAAGTGCATATTACGATATATTAAGGGTTCAATTGGACGTGGTATCCTCATGGAGAAAAATGGTTCCACAAATATTCAAGCCTACACTGACGTTGATTGGGCAGGAAATGCCTTGGATCGCAAATCAACCACAGGTTATTGTACGTTTACAGGAGGAAACCTCGTCACTTGGAAGAGCAAAAAACAGTCAGTCATCGCTCGCTCGAGTGCCGAGGCTGAATACAGAGCCATGGCATCAACTGCATGTGAACTCATATGGCTAAAAGGTCTCCTTGGTGATTTGGGAATCTCTAACAGCACACCGATGTCTCTCATGTGCGACAATCAAGCAGCAATGCATATTACATCCAACCCCATCTTCCATGAACACACTAAAGACATCGGGGTGGACTGTCATTATGTTCGAGCTCAAGTCCAATCCAAGGTTATTCAGACTGTTTTTACACGAAGCCATGATCAACAAGCGGATCTTTTTACTAAGGCATTGGGCACTGCTCAGTTTCAACGTTTATTGTGCAAGCTTGGATCAATCAATCCCCTTGATCCAGCTTGAGGGGGAGTATTGGAAATATAAATCAATGTTAATGAAGTGCAAAGTCAACCCTTAATTCCAGGAGGTTACGACCCCTTGAAACCATTGTGTTTAATTTGTTGTATCTTTCATGTAACCCCAGCCTGCTGTAATCTTCCTTATTTTGAGGAAGAGTGTTGTTTACCTCAGCCTGCTGTAACCTTCCTTTGAGGAAGAGTGTTCCTTTGTTTATTCAGCCTTAATACTCGGGCCAAAGGTGGCATGTGTGCCATTCCTTTACCTTGCTGTTATATGTATCAGTTTCCTTTGTAATTACAACAAAAGAAATATACAACAAATTTAAGTATCAAATTCCACAAATATCAAGATCAACCATACCCTAGATTGAGAGGGTTTCAAGAAGACGAGCTGAATTGCAGTGGCAAAAGCCGCGATTAATACCAAATCTTGGTGAGCGGAAGCAGAGAAAAGGTTCGAAAGATCACTCGTAAGCTACGAAGGCAATCAATACCATGTTAACCAATATATGATGAAGATCTTGATGAACACAGAGAGAGAAAGAGCTCAGAACTTTAGAGAGAAAAAGACAGGGAAATTGAGGGAACTGAATATTCTTATTATGTTTTCTTAACAACTAAGTAATACATGGGATGTAGTGTTTATACTTCTCTTAGAACAAACTTATCTAACCACCTAACCAATCAAAAGCTTATAATCTCAGTACAAGGGAGCACACTCTTAACCTTCAATACTTATACTCTATCAAACTTTACTTATTTAAGCCAAGCAGCGCATGCAGCTTCTCCACAAAACTGTCAACGTAGGAGTTCTCAAGGCCTTTACTGGAAAGAAACTCCCTCCACTTTGTATGGTTTCTCCTCACTTCCTTCCCCACCTCGCTCTCCTCATCCATCACATCTCTCACAGCCTTGCAAACACCCTCCTTCGTAAAAACCCCATCTTCCTCTCCTTTCTCAACCTTCACTCCAACTCTCAGATCACGACCCATCACTCTTGCAATGGCTAGCTGATCCGCCACGTTCGGCAGCAGAACAAGCTGGCACTCGCTCACCAGCCCCTCCATCAACGACGATGGACCGCAATGCGTCACGAAGCACCCCACAGAAGGGTGCTTCAATATCAATGGCTGCTGCACCCAACCCCAACTCACAACCCCTCTTCCTTTTACCCTCCCTTCAAACCCTTCCGGCAACGCTGACTCGACCGCTTCAACTCCCATCGGCGGCTTCAGTGCAGCGAAGAAGGGTAAACCCGTGAGCTCAAAACCCAACAACAATTCTTGAAGCTGATCAATTTTCAGAACGCATTCAGTTCCAAATGCACAGTATATCACACTTTTCGCTTCGAAACTTTCAAGCCATTTTGCCCACTTCTCGTCCAACTCTGTAGTCGGAGTCTCTGGCACCACCGGCCCTGCGAGAAGCACCGGCTTTCTCAATTGGGTTTCAAGATAATCGCAGTACTTCCCTTCCATCTCCCTACAAGTCCTGAAAGCCACCGCGTCACAGTCGTTCAAGGAGATGATTAGGCGGTCGATTAATTTCGTCCCACTGCCGAACTCCTTCAGCAGGAATGGCGCAAGCATTCGAGCTTCGTGTGCTGGTAGCTTGATTGAAGATGGTGGAAAAGATGGCGGCGGGTTGATAAGATCGTTGATAAGATCATCTTCCGTCAACACCGATTTCTCCATTAGTACTTTTCTTTCTGGGCTTCTCACATAACCCACAAGTGCAGGAGTAATAATGATGTAGTTTATAGATTTAATGCCTGTACCTAGCTGACGTAATAATTTTGGCAACCATGGCGTGAAGTCGAAAAAAACAAAATCAGGGTTTAGTTCACAGATTGCTTGCAGGATTGCTGGTTGAGTGAGGTCCATGGCGGTCATGAGGAGAGAGTAGGAAGGGAAAGGGACATCGTTTGTGGTTTCGGCGCCCGGCAGAAGGCCGTCGACATGAGGGACGGTGATGGGGATGAAGGATATGAGATGAGGGTGGAGGTTTAAAGCTTGTAATTTTTGCTGGGTTTTGGTTGGTACGAAGGAGATTCTGTGGCCTCTTTCAGCTAGCTTGTTGGAGAGGTGGAGGTAGGGGGTTAAGTGTCCCATGGCAAACCATGGATACATTGCAATGTGAAGGGATGGCAATGGCTGGTAATTACTCATACTTGAAGCAAAGGACAAAAGCTACGGTTTGTAGTGATACTTGAGATCGATTGTGGTTTTGATTTGTTTCCCAGGTCACTTTAAATGGAGGACATGAAGCACTGTGCATGCACCGATCGACAACTGCACACCACTTGCAGAAGACGACGTGGTACAATTATTGGATATATTAAATTAGGGTAATGGAAGGGAGATTAAAATTTTAAACCAAACCATGTAGTTGTTGATAATTGAATTATAGATAATGCAAGGGAATAAATATGGTCCTTGTATAAAATATGGATGGCTTCTTATTTATCAAAATCATGCATTTATCTATTTTAATCATTGTTCTAAAAATCTTTGTTTAGCCATAAGTGGCTGGTCATCGTCCGGATTAATCCTTTGGCTTTTGAAAATAAACTGTCTTGGCGTCAGCCTACCCCGGCTAGACCCACTTAGGTCGCAATGCTCACTTAGACAGAAATCAAATGAAGAACATAAAGCACTGCATGCACCGATCGACAGCTACACACCACTAGCAGAAGAAGACGTAGTGCCAAAAGCTAAGCTTATGAGAAATTTTTAGTTGTGACGAGAACACAAGTGTTTTAATAGGAATGGTGGGAATTTTTATTTTTTAAGTTATTAACTTTTTAGCATACATATCCCACTATTTGTTTAGTGACACGTGGTTGTGTACCACCTTGTGTACCGGTCCCACTGAAAAATCTCTCCTAAGCTTAGAGCTAGTGGACCCCCGTCTATGGGGTGTGTCGGTTCAATTATTGGAGAGAGGAGAGAATCCCGGAAATCCTCCAATCACATTCGTTCATCGTACATCATGCAGTTAATTTTTGTCAGGTACTGTTTATATTCAATTTTAAATAAAAAATTTACAATAATTTTTTACCGCACAATATATGGTAAACGGATGTGATTGGATGATCCTCATATCCTCCTGTGAATTATTGGATATATCAAACTAGAGTAATGGTAGGAAGATTAAAATTTTAAATAAAATTTTGTAAACCAAATCATGTAGTTGTTGATAATTGAATTATAGGTAATACATGGGAATAAGTATGGTCTTGATATAAAATATGGATGTGGGTGGCTTCTCATATATCAAAATCATGCGTTTATCTATTTTAATCACTATTCTAAAAATCTCCATCCAGGCGTTGAACGGCTGGTTACCATCCCGATTAGTTTCTAGGCGTTTGAAAATAGACCGCGTAGACATCCGCCTAGCCCGTCCAGACTCACTTAAGTTGCGATGCTCACTTAGACAGAAATAGATAACCTTTCATTTTGTCTTATATTCTAATACTTTATAATTTATATATCATTTTATTTTGCAATTTATGTATACTAATGAAATTATATATATTTTTAAGTATAAACAGATACTTATTTCTATGATATATAATTAATTAATTACTTAAATCCGTCTACACCACCTAGCCATTTAGATGCTAGGCTCCAACTCACCGCCCGACTAGCATCTAATGTCTTTTAGAACCTTGATTTTAATTAAGATGAAGTAGTGAATTTAGTGAATTATAATTAATCCAATAAGAGAGTGAGTTTTCTCCTCCTTACATCAAGTGCTAGACTTAACTGTTTTGAATGAATCCACAATTAGCGATATCGAAGGAATCTGTTACTTTTGATTGAGTGATTCTCATATTCTATCCCCGTCTCCTTGAATTCCTTAGTTGTTCCTGCGTCAGATCTCGTTCGAACGCTGGACCTTAAGACCGGGTTCAGTCAAACCTGTATGAGAAAATCACGAAGTTAAGTGGCAGCTATCATAATATAACATTAACAGATAACAAAAGCAGCTAGCACAACTCTTTTGCTATGGGATTGCCAGCCCAGTGGTTCACAGCCACACTGCTTAAAAGGTTCGAATCCAAAGCAGATATAACACTACTTGCCTAATTAAATGTCATCGAAAGTATGTTTCTCGATGAAGGGGCTGGTAATTACTCATACTTGCAGCAAAAGGCAAGGGCTAGGGTTTGTAATAATACTTGAGATCTGACGCGAATCAATTAAAGGATTACGGACGTAACCTTTTGTGGAAAAAAGTTTGAAATCCACCAAAAAAATTGAGAAAATCCCAAAAATTGTGTTTGATTAATAATTTAATGATTGCATCTAAATGACTTAAATGAGGTTGAAGGACATGAAGGACCGCATGCACCTGTCGTTCCAGCTGCATACTTGCAGAAGAAGATGCGGAGTAAAAAGCTAGTGGTTCTAAGCGGTCCCCGGTCTTGCATGGTGTTGTCGATTCAATTAGTTGGATATATCGTCATTTAGTATTACGGTGTAGTGATATTTTTCTTCATTTGTAAGTAAGATGTTTTAGGTTCAATTCTCGTCAAATACAAGTTTGAATTACATTATTACTAACTCATTGTGAGGCTAAGCCCAACCCTTTTCCTTAGTATAGATAATATCGTTTTCTTTTATTAAAAAAAAATATTTGGATATATCAAACGATGAATACTAAGTAACATTTTCATTTGCATTTTTTTTTTGTCTTCCTCGCACATTTGCCTTTGACACTACATTTATGTATTGAGTAATGCTAAGAAGACTAAATTTGCAAATAAAATGATGTGTCACCAATAGGAATAAGCATTGGCGGATCTAACATTTTAAACTCCGGGGATCCCAATAATAAAGGTCAAAAAATTTATAGACAAAAATAACATTGAAAAGTTAAATATAATACATTTCATTCAAAAATCATACGCAAAACAACATTACAAGCTATAAAATCCTAATTCAAGCGTCCACAACAAGGTTTCATAGTCTGAAAATGTTCCATGATAGCCTCATTACCAATACATGAAAAAACATATTTCTCAATGTAAAGAACTAAGATGTTACTCAACCACTGATCTCCCATTTTGTTGCGAAGTTAACCCTTAATGATATTCATAGCGGAAAATGTCTTCTCCACTGAAGCAGTTGAAACCGGTAAAATCAAAACCAACTGAACAAGCAAATATACATATGCAAATGTTTGATGCAACCCTTTCTCCACCATTTTCTTAACAAGATCATTAATCCCCGCAATTGAGAAAAATCATTATCAGAACGCACAAAATGAATATAAATATCAAGTTGATCGTGACGTGCCGATCTATCTTGATCCGTGAAATATGTAGGATACATTTGAGCAAGGCTAACCATCTTTTCTTTATCAAAAGCTACAAATGAATCATTCGGACTCAAACATGCTAAGCAAATAAGCAATTCGGTATATAAAATGAGTATGCAAACATAAAACATATAAATAGTAGACTAAAAATCTCCATCAATATCTAACATAAAACATATAATGACACACCCCGACCGAAGTCAAGGCATGCTGGCCGTCACGTGAGCGTGACGTAGCCATGTGCACAGTGCGGAAGCAATATTTATAAGGAAAGTACGAATAATTCAAAACCAAATACCATAGGTTCTAAGATAAGTTTAAGTGTGAATACACAACCAGAGCACAAGGTCTAAGTGCAGTCAAACATAAGATGTACTAATTTAACAACACTCGAAGATAATCCTACATGAGTGATGGTTTGTCAGAACTTCAGCAGGAAACCTCGAGATCCACCAACAACGCTACCTAAAACCTGGAGGGGCGCAAAACAAAGTTGAGTGGGTCAGTAAAACAAACTTTTCAAAACTTTCTTTTCTCTTTGAATATACTAACCCCTCGCCGTAAAACAAGTATAATTTCCCAGAAATGAAGTATATACTCATATACGTAATATATCTCAAAATCATGCTAGACAATATGAATGTACGCCATGTCAAAGTATCATAATTGAATACTCATCATCTCTATGTGAATATGATGGAATAACATATAATCAATTCAACCATCGGCCATAAATATAGTTTATGTTCTTTCATCATAATCAACTCAGCCCTCGGCTGCATATATAGCTCATAATCATCTCATCACATCATGTATATATATGTAAATCCTGCACACAATCAATACCACCTCACGTGGTCTGCAATTCATCACTGTATATAACATAATATGCTATAGTGCTACAATCACGTGAAGACTGTGTGATAAATCGCGAGTCACCTACGAGTCGAACCCACTAAAAGTGGTCTATACGACATGACTGTGCACCTAACTTGGATCCAAGGCGAGCATGCGGTGCGGGAGGTGAACATCACGTGAAAGACTGTGCCCCTAACTCTGGGCAGGAGCACTAATATACGTGTGCAAGTGAATGAGCTCTCAATCATAACCAACATCGTATCTCAATCGTATCTTAATCATAACCACATCGTATCTCAATCGTATCTCAATCATAACCAACATCGTATCTCAATCATAACCAACATCGTATCTCATCATCGTTACCAGCATAATATACTCACATATAGCTTACCTGGGCCTCCTCAGCACCATGCAACAATATGCATAATTATAATAATGCACATACTAAAATATGATGCATGTATGACAGGATACTTAAATCACATTTCCTTAAAATACGTTTTTTGGGAAAAACGTCAAGCATATATATATACTGAAAAATAACTGCCCACTCACTGATATGTCTCCGGTTCGTAACCCCCACGCCTAGTCTGGTTACTCTCGTCCTCCGTATAGGTCTCGCCTATAAGAGAAATAATTATAAAAACGTTATTTAAAAGCACATACACAACATTCGCTAATAACTTCTCATATATTGCTCAATTTGGGTATATGAATATACCACCGTGACCTACTCGACGTCACGAACCCGTACAAATATTTAAAACAATTTTTGGACCCCCCACTCACCCTCACGCGCCGGGAAAAGGTCGGCTCCACACGCGGTTACGCGCAGGCGCGTGTCGTCTTTAACCTTGGGTCACCGGACTGGTTTCGCCAGCGACGGAAAAGTCGCCGGTTTCTGGGCTAGTTTTCAAATCGTCATAACTTCGTCATTTCTTCACCATTTTTCGTGATTTTTGTACCAAAATGAAGCATAAGACATGTAGAATCATGATATACAAGTTTCTAGGCTTGAAAACCACTATAATTTACCTGAGTAAGCTCGATAGTTCGGTAAACTTTGACAAGCTTCGATCTCCGTACTCTGACGTCCAAAACCTTCCAACAAACTACCCCGAGCCTCCTAAGGACCTCAAGAAGCTTCCTATGAGCTTAAAAACTCCTAAAAATCAACCATTACAAAGTTTATGAATAGTGTCAAACTCGGAGGTGAGTGGTTCGACGTGAAAACTTTGAAGTTCTTACCTGAAATGGGTATGGATAAACTCGTATCGACAAGATGAAGACGATGGTGGTCTTTGTTTCCTCAATCTGTAAGGATTTGATGAACTTTGGTGATGATCCGTGTGTAGAGAGAGAGAATGAGTGAATTCGAAGGGAAGAGAGATAGTGTGAGTTTGAGTGTTTGAGGGAATTACAGGAAAAAGGAAGAAAAGGTGTTCTGAAAGAGTGTGTATGCTTGTCCCGTGAGTGTATGTGGTCCACAAGCCACAATCATTCAAACACAATCAAACAAAACGTCCATGATCATCCACTCTTTAAAACTAGGGTAATTTAAACAAACCCTAAAGTTCTAAATCTTTAAAATGTTCAAGGACATTTTATTAACTTCATACTCACGAAAACGATAATACGGGACGGGCTGTCACATAAACATGTTTAGGCGCCCGCTTAAACCTCCTAGGCGTCCGCCTAATCCACCTAGATCACGACTTTTACTTTAACAAAAAATAGATAACTTTCATTTTTGTATTATATTTTTGTAGACATCGAAATTTCGGTGAAATAAATGTTCACCAATACATTAAAATTTTGACATGCCAAGGCATACGTGGTATACACCATGTGTACACAACTTGTACACATGGATGTGACTCATCAAAATCGGACGAGTTATCAAGAAGGACATGTGTCAACACTTGGTGGAAATGAATTATTTGATTTTAATTTAATTTAATCAAAGGTTGATTGATGGAGTCAAATTACGAACCGGGTCACAAATCGAGTCTTGGTTCTTTCGTCAATTAATCAAGCCCACAATCAAGGTCAAATCCATATGTAGGCAAGATTTAGAAAGTCTATAAATACGAGGTTCCAAGATAAAGAAATGATCCAAAAATCATTTCACGCCTAGATGCTGAATCTTTGAAACTCTAAACCTCTCAAGCACTCAAACTCCCCAAACTCTCAAACACTCAAGAAGATTCGGAAATCTATAAATACGGGTTTAATTGCTCATCGTAATTAGAATGAGTATTAAGATTTACTTAAATAATTAAAATTTTGTGGCATAAGTTGTAAATATATTATAATAATTGGTTATATATTTGTCTACATGGTAGTCTATTATTTGAAATTTGAGTTTTATTTGAATGTGTAAAATTTAACGGGTTTTTTGTTTGGAAATTAGGAGTTCAAAGGCCTATTTCTAAACAACCCTAGTTCTAATTCTCAATTACATTCACAACTATATCAAAGTTACATGCTTTCTAATACAAACACAAATTGGATACGTATTACGTACTCACTAGTGAGGTCTAGACTAGGCTTGGTATTTTGGACCCAACCCATTAACCCGACCTGACCCGACCCAACCCGTTAATATTTGTATTTGGGTGGATGCTTAACAGGTCGAGTCGCTAACGGGTGAACCCGTTAAATAACGGGTCACTTTGGGTCAACCCGTTAGACCCGTTAGGACCTGTTAGCACCCGTTAGTTGATGATATTTTAGTAATTTTAGTAAAGTCTTAATAACAAAAAATAAACTTTATGCAAAATAATAATAATAATAATTGTTAACGGGTGAAACGGGTCGGGTTCGGATGATCCGTTAGCTTAACGAGTTGGGTTCGGGTGACCCGTTAACTTAACGGGTTGGATTGAACCCAACCCAAACCCAATAAACCCGACCCGTTTACAGGTCTAGTCTAGACAATGTTACGGGGGTTCGGTTTATCCGGATTATCCAGGCAGGCCAGGGTCCATCTTGGAAATTCACCTATTTATTTGTAATTTGAGTTTAAAGTTTCTAGCATGTAATGGGTTTGAAAGTTGTTGATGAAACTATTTTTTTTTTATTTCTAACTTTCTAAGCCTTATAACTAACCTTCTGTTTTACCATATAAGTCTTATGATGTCAATAACCATTTGATTTTTGCAAAAAATTCTTTTTATTTGTCGGTTCATATAAAACAAGATCTGCAACGAAAAAATCAATTATGTTGAAAGAAAAATTTAATAGAAATAGCTTATCTTTCATGGCTAACATGACATTATCCGTTACTTATTGGGTGCATTTTTACTCACCACTCTCAAGTGGTCCTAATGTTCATCAACCAACGTATTATTATTTGAATGTGTTTAACTTTTGAGATTTGTGTCTATCTACCATACAAATTTCAAAATTTAAACCCATTAACGGTAATAAATAAGATGGTGAACAAAAATATTCTCTAAGTTAGTAGTGATTGGGCCTGGTAGTCGGCCCACTGCCGATTGGACCCAAACTAAAGAAACACCACACGGCTTCGTTTTGATTCCCGCTTGAACCGCTTCGTTCTCTTGGCACAATTAAAGCGTCCCTTATCAGTCTGGTCGGAAGAACACTATTTTTAGCAATAAATCCGAAATCTGCAGACAGAGAACAAGTTTCCAAGTCGGCTCGTTCTTCACCGATTTCCGTAAGATTTCGCCTTTCTCTATTATATTTCATCGTTTTTCTGGGATTTGATTGATGTTAGCTTCTGCATGTTTACAAATTACACCTGTTTGGTTCCCGATAAAACGAAGAGGAAAAAGAAAATGTAATTTTCTTACGTATCCTGTAAATTTTGGGTAAATATTATTCAAATTTTGAAAATGGAAAATTTATCAGATTCTTGTTCGGCTGTGAATAAAACTAGAAAAATAAATTAATTTTGAGAATGATCGTAACTTTTTTGAAACACCCGGTCCCAGCCCGGATGAAGGAGGAGGGGGAGAGTGTCATTTAGTCGATAGCCGGTACTCTCATCTTACGTCGAATCCTTATGATAATAAATCCTAAACGAATAGGAAGACTTTTGAAAGAGACATCCTAAACGAATAGGAAGACTTTTGAAAGAGACTTTAAGAAAAGTCTTAGAGTACTTGGATCTAACGGAAAACGTGGTACAAATTTGAGCACAATGACGTTCTAGGATTCATACAGCCGACCTATTTAGTGAGAAAATGCTTTGTTGTTGTTGTTGTTATTTTTTTTCCTAAACGGTAAATCTGGTAGTCTAGGTTAAAATGTGTTTAGGAATATGGGGCATCACATTTGGTTTATTACCAATGCTTTGATTTTTTTTTAATGGGGGATTTTTGCGTGGAAAGAGATTTTAAGAAAAGATATGGGGTACGTGAAGCTAACGGAATACTTGACGCAAAATCAAATGCAGTGTTGTTTTAAAATTTATACAGCAGACTCCACAAAGCGGGACAAAACTTGGTTTTTGTTCTTGTTGTGGTGGATTTTTGCGTGCATGTTTTTGCCAGCAAATAGCAGATTGCACATATAATTTAGTGTGGAATTTGATTATTTGTTCATAATTTATGATATTCTCTTTATTTATTTATTTTATATTTAATTATTTGAATGGGATTATGCTTTGCCATTGTACAATGCTGAGATGCTTGTTTGTGAATCCCAAATTCCTTTTATTCAGAACGAAATTTGCTATTCGGGAACATTCTTGTTGCTACCTTTAATGACGAGATACTGATGTTGCAGAAACATTTTGAGCAATGGGGAAGAGGAAGTCATCGGCAAAACCGCCTCCTAAGAAGCGGAATGACAAGCTTGACACCATCTTCAGCTGTCCCTTCTGCAGCCACGGCACCAGCGTTGAATGCCGCATGTGAGTGCCTCTGTTTGATTTCGTGTCTGGTATTTTGAGTTCTCTTAACCATCTGAAGAGGAATCGATAACCCGGAACTTGTTCTAGGAGACCTTCTTGAATGTTAGGTTCTGCATTTTTTAGTCTTGTAACTCGCTTTTATCGTTTATCTTCGCTTCAGCGACATGAAGAACTTGATTGGGGAAGCTTCTTGTAGAATATGCCAAGCAAGCTTCAGCACCACCATCACAGATCTGTGCAAAACGCAGTCCCTTGATTTGAAACTTATATCCCCTTTCGTTCGAGACCTGTAGGCCTGGCATTTTGGACTCAACCCGTTAACCCGATTCGACCCAACCCGTTAATATTTGTATTTAGATGAATGTTTAACGGGTCGGGTTAAATAACGGTTCACTTTGGATCAACCTGTTAGACCCGTTAGGACCCGTTAACACCCGTTAATTGAGGATATTTTAATAATTTTAGTAAAGTCTTAATAACAAAAAATAAACTTCATGCAAAATAATAATAATAATTGTTAACGGATGAAACGGATGACCCGTTAGCTTAACGGATCGGGTTCGGATGACTCGTTAGCTTAACGGGTCGGGTTCGGATGATCCGTTAGCTTAACGGGTTGAGTTCGGGTGACTCGTTAACTTAACGGGTCGGGTTCAAACCCAATAAACCCAACCTGTTTACAGGTTTAGAGACTTGGGAGTTGAATTTTAACTGGATGACATTTGACAATGGAGATTCAGGTTAGTAAGAAACAAATATTAACGTAGGAACGAAGTTACAGGATGGTTTGGCCGCTTTTGAACGCTGATTCGCTTGTGATAGTCTTCAACTCTTCATCTGCCCTCGAAATTAGGTTGTTATGAAAATGTCATTTCTCAGGAATTTATGCCTTTCTTTTATGGGAGTTTTAACAAAACACTTCCAGTACTGTTCACTTTTAACGAAAAACCACATTTATACATTTCTCTGTTAATATTCACAATACCTTTAAAAAAAACTTTTAATTAAAAAATAATTTTTTTTAGACTTTTCGTTAGTTTTCCTTTCTTTTATTGCTTTCTTCTAATTCTGATTTCCTCTGTCTTATTTAAAGTAAAAGTAAATATTATCTGGAAGTTTAAGGTGAAAATTATCTGGAAGTAATTGCCTAATGAATTATTGTAAAATCAGCATTTACAAATTTCTGAGGGATGGTTTTAAACACATACAAACAACATAGAAACTGCATAATAAGATAGATATATTATGTACCCAACAAGACGACATGCCGTCTAAACAAAAGTTTAAAGCCCAAACACAGGATAATTGGCGGCAAATGGTGTTCATTTCATCCATCCAATACCACCCTTCATCATATCACAATTAGCTAATAAAAATGCAGTGCGACGAAGTGACGAAGTGACGAAGTGACGAAGTGACGAAGTTAGAGTATGCTCGAGCGTCGGCGGCATTCCGTGCGACGAGCTCTTTGCGCTGTGTCTATAGAGCCAAAAATGTGCTTGACTTCATAGTAGAAATGCATGACCCCCGCCACACTACGTAATGGAAACTAAAGATTAAGGATGGGCATGCTCCTTACTCCAGCCCATCAAAGTTCTTTCGGTTAGGTTATGTAATAGCCGTTGACGTCGTCGAGAAGGTAGTCGTAGGGTGCACCTGATCCATAGTCAAAAGTCGCATTTGTGGTTGTCCCTCGATTTGGAGAGTGGTAGACATTTCCGACACCAACCTTTGCGTTAACTTTGGCCCTGCCCTTGACAATGCGCTTGTTATCGATGGGGAACTCGGCGGAAAGCCTTCCCATCTGCTTCTGCAGATCAGCAACTGAATCGTTGGTTAGTTTGCCCTTGGAATTTTTCTTCCCATCAACAAGTTTCAGCTCCAATCTGTACAAGGCACAAGCATCGCACTTGTTGATCTCGTACTCGTAAAGGTGCCACTCAAAATGGTTCGATGGTTGAGGATCCATATAGTAAGACCTCTTCAGCCCTCCATACTCATTCATCACTTGCTTCCTCGACTCATGCCAACCTCGTCCGTTGTAATCTGGCAATGACCTCTGTTTTCTGTTGCCGCTCTCAAAAGCTCTTCGAGGCTTATCGAAAAAGAGCCACTCCCTGATTACCTCACCCTCAAGAACCGAAAGATCAAAGAGTTCTGGAATCACAAGGACTTGATCAGATCAAATTCACAACAAAAGTCACTCATGACTTCTAAATAAATTTTACAACAAAACGAGGATAAAAACAGCTAACATGCACTTACCACGTGCATTCCATGGAGACTTCGCAGTAGCCGCTCCCTCGCACTCAGGGATACCAACACTTTTTCCTTGTGCCTTTGCACTAAGAGCAGCAAAAAGTAGGCCGTCCTTCAGGCCTATGCCCCCAGGTCTAAGGACCGGACCCATGCCTGGTGGTCCTTCATTCAATGCCAAAGCAGCATGAAAGCTACTGCAGTAGTCTAGCCACCAGTCCATCCCTTGAGCAGGCCTAGGGCAATCCCAAAGTGCACACTTTGGGCCCAAGAAAGCAGATGGCGGAGGAAAAATACTCGGTAGATAAGTAGAAACCTGAGGCAATGTGTCCTCCCCACTCAAAGCTGTGGCATTAAAACAAGGATAGAAACTCTGCTCAAAGTCTTGATGCAATTCAAACTGATGATAGTCCAATTGATTAGCCCCTTCCAAATTGTTAACAGCAACATTGCGAACTCCTGAAGGGGAGCTTTTGCTCTGATCAGCCAACGGCATGGCATGTTCCTGTTGCCCTTGATTCACACTAAATCCCTGATATATGGTGTTTGCAACCACCAGTGAGTGCTCATATACAACTGATTCACTTTTCATTTCAAAGCGGAAGAACAAAGCACATAGCTATATGGATAAACAACAAAAAGAAATTGAAAAGAAAAAAAACAAAGACAGTTTAACAGTTCAGAAAAGAGCGAACAAAAAAAAGAAAAATAAAGGGTGCAAAACCACCTCATGAAAGACCAAACTTTCTCCAACTTGCAAGTTTTGATCATTCGGCTCGGGTTTCGGTGCAGCTAATGGACTAGTGGCATCATCTTCCTCTTCACACAGCTGCAACAGCCGGCAAATGTCCGAAGAGAACGAACCAAGACTGCCACCCTATATTCGCCATAAACACCAAAATTCACAACCAGACCCTTTAAAGCAAAAACATAACCACATATTTCATAAGTTGATGTATTACATATACGCAACAGGACGCTTCTAATTACATATCTAGTTCCACATATGCACTCAAAACAAAATCAAAATGTTTACCTGCTGCTGCAAAGAAGAAGCCGGGGAGGGCTCATTTAGCTCGGCTTTCCACTCACGTAGCATCTGATGCACTTGTTCTTCGAGGAGTGCAGCATCGATGGAGCGGCTCTCCTTTCTAGCAAACTGGAGGTCCATGAACATGCCCTGCAAGTCATCAACACGGTTCTTTGCTTTGTCCTTGAAAAGATTGTGAGAAGCGGACTTGCAATTGCTCTTTGAACCCTTCATCACACACCCGCCCCCTTCTAAACCCTACAAATCACAAATCAGACACAAACCCATCTCAGATTATCGAAAATCCATCAAGATCAAGGCTTTAGCAAGACACACACAAACCCATCTCAGATTACCAAAAACCCACTAAGATTAGCATATAAACAGAGCCAAAAAACCTGAATTACGAATAACAATCACGAAAATTCACCATAAATCAGACTAAATCAATAAAATTAACTTAAACAGAAAGAAAACCAATACTAATGGAAGTGGAACCTCTACTGATCAGAAGCAACCGCGCACAAATGGTATGCGAATTGAGTGATGAAATTCAGCAGTTAATCCAAGCTCACCACCGAAAGAGAATTGGGATCGGGAGGTCGAGAGGGTTTGGGGTGGCAACGACGAGAGGTGTGGAAGCGAGAAAGCTAAAAAAGAAAAGAGAAAGTCGAAATATTCGAACAGAAAAGGAGATGCTTACCCAATAGTCTCTCTCAAAGTGTTTGATGCCAGTTAACAAATTTTTGGTGAGTAGTTTTTGTGTGGATTTGTGTTGGGGTCTCTCCTGACTTCTGTAGAAGGAAGGAGCGGTGGCTTCTCTTTTCGCTCGCTTTCGCTCTCTCCGTGTCTGGCTGGCGCGCTGTGGAAAGTGAAAGCACAAGTGCGGCCAGCGTGGACGCTGGTAAAAGGGTTAAAGGAGTGGGATGCATGGGCGGTGGCAAATGACATAAGCACCATTATTTTTCTCATAAGAAAATTGCCTTTTGACTTGTGATGATTAAAATATAAATCCAAAAATATAAAAGTCCAGTTAAATATAAGAAAAACTAATGAAAAATGTTTGAAAACTTTGAGTTTTAACGATAAGGACAAAATAAAGGGTAAAGTGAATAGTATTAGATTTGACTTTTTAGTGTAAAAATATGGTTTTTCGTTAAAATGAACAATACTGCGGGCTTTTCGTTAAAACTCCCAAATATATGGAACCACCACGAGGTGTCACAGTAATTGTGGACAAATTTCAGATTCGTATTTCACACTCCACAACTTGAGTTCGAGTCCTGACGTGTGTGAATCGCACAGTATTCACCATAGGGAGGCATGGTCGCCATAAGAAGGCTGAGATGGCTCGGTGAGTCTTTCCGACCTTTGCAAGAGCGGACTGTCTTGGTGAAGCCACAATGGAATTATCCTCAGTCTCACTAACGACAATTTGAAAATGTGTAGTCTATGACATCTAATTTTCACTTTGTTGCACATTTCTTTTTTGATATAAACAATAGTGTGAGAGTGAGAATCAAACTTAAGATTTCATGTCCAACAATAAAGTGCATGGTAGCATTTTTTTAGTAGCAATTGAGAGAAACATAGTTATGGTTTTTTTTTTTTTTCAAATAAAAAGAACTTATTTGATATGGACATGGGAGACTGATTTGGACTTTTGACGCCCTTTATTTATTTCATTTATTGTCATGTTTATTGTTGAGTCCATATCTCCTCCTTTAAAATATCTATGAAAGAATAAAATTGGTACACTACTGAAAGTGATATTTTCATAAGAAGATTATTTTTATCGTATTACTTTTGCTACACAAGATTTTTGCATTTCTCATCCTTTTGTTTATGTATAATACTATTTCATTACAACATCTCTAGTTAATTATTTATTCCGTTGGTATTTCGACTCTAAACTGTTGTAATCGCTCATTCAGGACTATTTTTGTAAAAATTACTCATAAGCGTTTTTACTATAAATGTAATAAATGGTCATGCTCAAAAGAGAAAGAAGAGTTGTAGGGATTATAGGTTTAATAGAATGAAGGCGAAGACAAATCGACCAAGAGAGCATCCACTACTACCAATACCATCCATCAGATTCCTAATTTGATGCCGGTTTGTGGAGATAGAAGAAAATTATAAGGGGGCTTTTTAGCTATAAAATGGCTTCTAAGATTGACATAATTTCTCACTTGGATCCTTGAGATTGTCCACCGTCAATCATTTTACTCTTTCCGTGAAAAATCTCCATTAAGTTGAACGTATTTTTGTTAAATCAACCCTCCACTTGAACCGGTGGTTTCTCAAGGGGAGTGAGCTACATTTCCCTTGTACCTTGCCCTACTACTTTCTCCATTTTCCCTTCTCATTCTGCAATATTGTATGATGAGCGAACCTGTTTCTCTTTCTTATTCTACTGACATCAAAATCTCTCTTTGCACAACCTCTGCCTCCAAATGTGTAAAAGTTTTGCATTCCAAAAACCGATTACGGCTGGAAAGTTAATGTCACACCACCAAAGCCATCATTAACTTGGCATACATCTCTCTGTTAACAAACGTTTATAATTCCGAAGGCAATGAAGCCAGGCATCAATCTAAAAGATGCCCGGCGGTCAAAAGAATCAAGGGCGAAAATTTTATCTCGGCGATGAGGGCATTCTATGAATTAAAATCGGGTTAAAAACCAAATTTATGAGATGAATTTGTGATATGATCAGGCTGGCTTTACTGACTTTGCAGATTCTGTATCAGGGCGCTTGAAACTGATAATCCCACTAAGTCCACGTCCCCTGGCAAGCTTCTCTAGTTCTTCAAGTTTTTCCTTAAGAAGTTCTACTTCTCTTGATAAGGCTTCGTCTCTTTGCTTCAGTGCCTGAAAAACAGTGAACAACAGGGAGGCAGTTACGCAGCCATAAAATTTGTAGGAAGCATGTAGTGTGAAACAGAAATTGGGTTGTGCATACTGCATAGTGATATATAATTACCATGAAACCGTGATATGATTGTTTCACATTACAAGTCTAACCAACTCATCACAACGTGATCTTAGGCTTCGTGATAATCCACCAAGATTTTCCCTGAATTAGATATCCCCAACCTTAGACTAGCTCTTCCCTAAAGAGTTGCCTTGGCTTGTAAGAAGATACCGATGCCCATTAACGTCGGCATGCTCTAGGTGTTTATCTTTCATTTGGCTTTAGAAGGATAAGCTATGTATGTCTAGTTCGTCACCAGATCGTACTTTATCCACATCAGAAATTGAAAAGATGATATTGTACTATCTTGTTCACTAGAGAGCATAAGGAATTACCATTTTTATTTCAAATCCATTAGCATTTTGAAAAGGAATGGAGGTCATTTGTTCAAAAGAGGGTAAAAATGCAACTGAATAAAAAATTTATATAAATCATGCGATCTATGACATAATAGCATGTCAAGGTTGCCATACAAATGCAAACCAACACAGTGACTCAGTATCATTTAATACTTAAAGAAGATATTGCCAAAATACCTCCAGTTCTCGCTTGCGTGCTTCCTCCTTTCTGGCTTCTGATCGAGCACTTCTTTGCACTTCAAATATCAAAGCAACTGTTGCAACCTATATATGTATAGAAATTTATGCACATAAGTATTTACAGAACAATCGAGACACGTATAGTTGGTTTTAGTGGGACAACCATGGTATGTGAGTCAGATTTCTGTACACGTTAAGAACAACCCCAACCCCCCCCCCCCCCCAAAAAAAAAAAAAAACCTCTTCTTTTTTCTCCCTCTCATCAATGTTACATACGAAAGAATCCTAGGCCAGCGCATAATTCCCATCGACAAAGCATATGGGACTTATGAAAGGAAGCCATATTTCTCAGACACCCCAATAAGTTTAATCACCTGTTTTTTGAGTCCTCGACCAACAATACAGCAATCAATATTTTTTCTTGTTAGACAGGGGCATGCATGTATACAATTATCACCAAGCAGAATCTTGGTTCTTGACTTCCATCTACATGCTGATTGCAATGAGTTTGATTCCCACACGTCTACTTATGCAATTAGACATATCCCAAATCTACATATTTTATTTTCGCTTGAGCCTTCCAGTGTGCGTTGATAAATCAGAATCAAATCTTAAACAGAAGAGAAATAGCTATGAGTGATTGCACAAACAAGTACCAGTAAATATTACCGAGAAGACAAAGAGCTCGCCAATAAGGTCCACAGCAGCCTGCACAGCCTTCTCCTCATTCAAAGGGCGAATCTTAACATCAGTGGCACGACTATATATGCGCCTTTGCATTCTCGTGGTCATTCGATGGTTTGCCTGAATCCAGTATATTAGAAAGTAAACCCCTTCACATCCATTAAAAAAAAAAAATGTAGATTTCTACCAAACCGGCGTAAGAACTTAATGTTTGTAATATCATATTCATACAATAACATGATTTACAAGCAGATAAAACTAACAGAAACCCGAAAGGATTCCGCAGAAGTGAAGTATATCCAGACGCTCAACTCCAGCACCACTGTCAAACAACAATTTTATAACACCACAGAACACAACCCGTATGTCGAAACGGAACGATGGGACTAAATGCGATTCACAAGCACTAGCTGGGACAATAAAAACTACATCGCCCAAATGGGTAAGCTCAAAAATTGAATTAGCACCAATAAGAACTCTCAACCTTTTGTTCTCAATTCAAACGGGGGCAAGAAAAATTTACCAAAAAAAGTACTGGGATCATATTATTATAACGAAATACAAACGCCCATCTGAAACTATATCTGAAAGTTCAAAGCTTCCGATGGTTAGCTAAAAGATCATAACAGTAACAGCAATAAGATGATTCACCTGTGCGATGCTGACGATGAACTGGCGGAACTTGGGGTGCATTGCAGCTTGATGTTTGAGCCTGGCGGCGACGGGTTTGCTCAGAGTTTTGATGGCCAAAGTCCCGAGCTTCAGGAGCGGAAGCACCATGGCTGCGCAATCCTATCTACAAATACAATCGTTTAGTGCTCACTGTTCCGGCTTCGGATCAAAGCTGATGAGAATTCAGCAGCAAATGCTCAATCGGCGGTCGTCATGGTGGTGGAAATGGGGTGACTGTGTATCATTGCAGCGGGGTTGACTGGTTCAGACTTCAGACGGCGAGTGAGATTCTTGGGGAAGAAGAAGAAGAGAGCTGAGAAATGGAGAAAGTCGGGGGAAAGAGAAGGCATGCGGGAAAAATGGGGTTCGTTTGTTTATTGGTGAAATTGGGGGAAAATGGAAGCTGCGATTTTGTTAGTCCTCGTTACTTCTAGTTGGTTTCACTCACACCAAATTGGACGGTTGAAAGTATAAATTGCCTATTCGGGGACGTGAACCGAATACTTACCTGCTGTTCGGCCCAAAAGACCGAATATTCGGTTTAGGAATTTATTGCTGCCAAATGGACCGAACGGTCCGAACCGAAAGCACCGAATTTGATTTTTATCAAGTGACGTAAATTACAAATTCACCAAAAAATCTTAGATGGAATTGATGCTACTTATTACAACTCATAACCAGACAAATTAGAAAAATTATAAATTCAAAAAAAGTCTCACAATGGTTATGTGGGAATCGTTGTACGTTATTCTAGCTCAAATTGAGAATACCTACACAATACAACTTTGGTTGCAACTAGTTATTGTTGTCTATGAATCGGACTCAAACGGCATCATGTTGTACAAATTAAAGCAATCTACCAACCCTAGATATCATAGTGGGTAGCACTCCACACCTCTAACTTTCATTTACAGTTCCATCTCTCTCCTTTCAAAACACCCTAGCCTTTTACCTCCATAGATGCCGACCTCTGGCTATGGCTAGGAGCCGGTGGCAGCTTCCCTCTTTCTTCTCATAGCCCTTCTTCCCTTCCTCTATTCCCTTTCTCCCTCATCCCAGAACTCTTTCCCCTCCCTTTCCATCCACGACCCAGCCCCCTGACCTCACGCTGACCACCCTTTTTCTAGCCTTCACGTACGTCTTATTCCCCTCCCGGGTCTCCCTCTCGCCATTTTGTGAGCAATTTTCCATGAATTTCAATCTCATACCCAAATTCGAGTCACGCCATATCAAGGTTCTCCTTCGATTTGGCACTCGTTTTCTTGGTGTGGGTTGTATTCATGGCTGCAAGTGGTTGGATCCACCATCGTCAGCTTGTTTTCCATGGTTGTGGTACTTTCCTCGACTAATTTTGTGGATGCGCCAACTTGTGCGCACATATCCAGCAGCTCTCGGTTGTTGTGCGTTTCATTCCAAGCATGTCCACTACCTTATGCAACTTGGTCTTGTGCTACTTGATTTTTTGGATAACGGAATCTCACTTAACTAGTGAATTTGCAGGTGGCCTTGGGTTGAGTGTCCTCGTCCCCACTGAGATGAGTTGGCTTGTGGTTCCCTTCTCGGAGTAGTGTAGTTGTGCATCACTCACCTTGCGAGCTGTAAGATCCCACATCGTCTGGGGGAAAGGATCATTCATACCTTATATGTACATGCTCACCTCCCATTTGCAAGACGCATTTTGGGAACTCAATGGCTTCAGATCCCGTAAGAACTCCGAAGTTAAGTGAGTTTAGGCGTGATAGGAGCATATTTATGCGACTTAGTTAGCTTGTTCTTATGCATTTATGTTGTTATTTCTTAGTCAATTATGTATTTTAAGCTATTTTCGTGTGTTTGTAGGTCCTAATAACAAAGTTGGTAAGAAAGTGCATTTTGGTTCATTTTGGAGCAATTTTGGGCTGAAATGGATTGCATGCATATGGAGCAAGTTGGATGAACGTTTTTGGTGTTTTAAAAAGGGTTTCAACATATGCAAAAATCTGAATAATAAAGTTGAAGTGTGGAAGTGTGCAAATACATACACTTAATGAACAATTTGAAAGGAAAAGAAGTGAAAGATGTCATTTGTTGGATTGATTTACAAGTTGTAATCACATTTCCAGTAACTACACACATAATTGCAAGCTGAAATGATGCATAGCATGTGTGTGAAAGTGTCTAGCAGTAGGTGCATGTGTGAAGAGGTGTAAAGTGGCCAAAAATTGGTGTTTGCAAGATGAATAATGAAAAACATGTGTGTGAAAGTTGTCTAACAGCTAGTACATGTGGAAGTGAGCTGGAACACAAGGCAAAGAGTGCAGAAAATCAAGTTTGAAGGCACATGGACAACTCCTTTACCGTGCACTCCATCCATTGTTGCAGCAACCTTTCACATTTCCTTTGTCTACCATGTGCACAATATTCTTGTCCACTCCTTGCACTCAATTGCTACACCATTCCTTGTTCCCTCCATCATTTCAGATTTCATGCATCATTTCATCACTTTAACCTCCACTCATTGCACTCATTGATTCACCACTTACTCACATTTCCACCCATGCCATGCATAATCACCATTGTCTCATTTATGCACCAGATTTCTTGCACTCATTTCATGCACCATTACACTCATTACCCCTCCTTGCCGTGCACCATCCTTGTCCACTTCACCCATCAAATTTCATACAACTTTTACCTCCACTATATGCACTCATTGATGCACCATTCCACCTCAATTTCCTTTCTTTACCATGTGCACAATCATTCATGTTCCCTACTTGCATTCATAGCTGCAACACCACTCTATTTTACCCCTTATGTTTTGCTTCATCACTTCACTTTCACCTTTGAATCATTTCAACACCACTTCATGCATTAATTGCTGCACACACCACTCAATTTTCCCTCCAAATGCCGTGCACTACCTCTATAAAATGAGTATGTGTGTGCAGCCATGAGAAGTTGAGTTTTTGCTTGATCATTCATCCCATTTCAATACAACCTTCATCCAAACACATCCATTCATCTTCACGTCCATTCCTCCATACAAACAAACCTTCAAACACTCACCAACACCTTGTGCCGTAGCAAAGGAAGGGAAGGAAAGTGCTTGGACGTGCTTGCTGTCCAACTTGGATCGTTGGAGCGTTTAGGTGTTTTCTTTCTTTTGTTTCCAATGTTTAAATTCATTTTCTTTCGTTTTGTTGTGAACATGAGTAGCTAAACCCCGCCTAGCTAGGGGTGATTTCAAAGCCATGATTATGTGTGTAATATGATTTGATAAATTCCAGTTATGAACTCTTGAATCGTGAATGCATTTGGCTTAACTATTTAATTGATAACTTATTTGTATTTTTTGATTAAGGGTCGACACTTAATTGGCGTGCATAAATCCGATGCTAGAATATAAGAAAGTTTCACATAATCGTTACAAACTTATATTCATAAGTAGTGGAGGTCGCTTATAAACGATCGCGTTAAGTTTAATTCTAGCATGAGTGACATGATGTCATAGTTGCAAGTGCTTTGTCAATGCTTATGATTTTCATTAAACGTAATGATCTTTGATTGTATCTCTATTATGATGTCGTACAAGGAACTTTTGAAGAATGTTTTGGGTTGTCGAATGATGTCATCCAATCTAATAAAACAAGGAAAATCTGAGGGTTAACTAGTGATGTCACAGTTAATTTGGGGCATTGTCGTTCATAATTCAATGAAGTAGTAACTGGAAATCGAGTTGTTTGCATACATGTCATGTGTGGAGAAAAAGCCTCTAGCTATCCCATCCATCATCTTATTTCTCAAATTCGTTTTACAATCTGTCTAGTTTTTCATACTTGTTTGTTTGTTTCAACTTTATCCAAATCAAAACCCCTCTTTTAGTTTCTTGTTTCAAAGTGTTTCAAATCTGTTTTAGTTTGTGTTTTTAAGTGTTTTGATTCAAGTAAAAGTCAAATTTCGTCCAAAGTCATTCCTAGTGTCTAGTTTAAGTTTATTTGGTTGTTTTAAGCTGTTTTGAGTATTTTAAGTTTGCTTTGAGTCTTGTGAGTCTTGTTAAGTGTTTTTAAGTTTAGTTTTATATTTTTGAGTCAGTTTAGAGGTTATTAGCAAGCCCTCCTAATCCCCGGTCCATAACGATCCATACTTATACTTATACTACAATTGTCAAAAGATGGTTAAATTTGTGTGTTAAGTTAATTTTCGCATCAAGGCGAGAGCAGTCATAGGATGGGTGACCTCCTGGGAAGTTCTCATGCCGAAACCCAAGAACAAATCTGTGAGATTGCGAAGTGGACAATATCTTGCTATGCGGGCGCAGTGGTCGCGCTGTTATATTGGCTAAATTGGTCTTCGTCTTTGAGCAATGAGTTATGTAGTCTCGTTTGTCAACGAAGACTTGATGTGGTCTAGCTTTAATGCAATGACTTTTTGTGGCCTCGCTATTCTGCGATGACTAATGTGGGTGCTGGTATATCTCTGTTGTGTCTATCGTTTATTGTAACATATTTGTATTGGTGCAATTGTGCACTTGGTAATTGTGGGCTTGTGCTTGTGTAGCCTGCTAGGGGTTTATTCTTGTTTGTCTAATTGTGCGAATTCACTCCAGATCAATTTTTTGGTCATTGGAGTTATGTACCCAATGACACCCTTATATTTTTTTGTGGTGATTAATGAAATATCACTATATCGTTTCTTGTCAAAAACAAAAAAAAGAAAAAAAGAAAAAAAAAAGGATATCGTAGTGGGTGGAATCCATTTGAGGAAGGAAGAGAGACAAAGAGGATGATGAGGTTTGAATCGGATCGGCCATCATGCAGCAGAGATCCAGCCTAAATTCGCACAACTAACTGTGATGGGTTAGAAAACATCTGGGAGACAGAATGTATGAGGTACTTTATTAGGAAATTGATATTCAAACGATAACTTTTTGGAAAAGGATCCTCGAGATCTATCATTTTTTTTTTAAAATCCTAAGGATCTCATGACCATGATCGTTTATCGTACATCGTGCGGTTAAAAATTATTTTAAAATTTAAAATTAAATATAAATAGTACGTAACGAAAACTAATCACACGATATACGATAAACAGTCACAATTATGAAATTCTTAAGATCTTCAGAAAAAAAATCCAGCGAGGATCCTTTTCCTAACTTTTTCTCCTATTTCTTTTAGATACCTATTTCTTTATTGGTCTGACGTTACACTAATATTTGAAGATGTTCAAGTTTAATTCCTAATTTTCCTGTTGAACTTGATCATGTTATGGATGACATCCTTCCACTAATGAGTTTGACTGTTCACCTTTGTGCTAGCTATAGTTTTCATGAGGTACGTATGTTCCAACCAACTGGATGAAAATCAAATCTAAAGACTTGCATGTCGACTACACCAAACAATGACCTCAATGATCTAACAATTCCAAGTGAAAAATTGCTTCGCAATTATCATGTGGATATTTCATGGAGATATCATAGTGACTCAAGGGTCTACCACTAAAGCGTTGCATCTGGCCGCAACGTCATTTTGACCAATGATTGAACATATCACATATCCAAAGGTCTAGTAAATGAAGTTGCGGCTAAGATACATCAATAATATCACATATGAGATTAATATACCAAATACGATAATTAAGAACAATCCTAGTGTAAAATACTGTTCTAATGATGTGAGAGGTTATGAGCTAAAAAGTGTCAGGTGACTAATTTTCATTGACTACCGGTTTTTTCCTATGATTAAATTGACCCTTCAAGACCCTTGTGCAAGAGTCGGAGCTAAACTGACCGTTTGAAGAGCTCTGTGCTATTTTAACCTAAGCTAGATATATCCCATTAAAAATTGAATTTTGCCATTTTAAAATAACATTTTTGCCTAGGTTAGTCTGCAACTTTGCATATGCTCATAATTTCTCCTCCACTTTTTTACTAAATTTTTGTGTCCTCAAATGTGACCAGTAACATAAGCCTAATGATATAGCAGCCCGGCCCACTTCCACCGCAGAAGACAACAAAGGTAACCACGTCACCGATCCTCGATCCGTGTTACACCTCCTAAAGCAACCCACATCCGTCGATTACCAAAGCATCAACGGCCAAAGTCACTTCTATATCGGGCCATTATTTTGAAACTCGCGCCCAGCGCACAACAAAAACACCCGCCGCGTCAGCGATCCGCAACAACAATAACCCATCAAACTAGGCACAGCCGTCGATAACTCCACTAAATCAACGGCCTCAGTTCGTCGTCTGCCATCTCGATTTTTCACACATCCCGCTATAAGATCCCTCCATAGCCAATGCTCCCACTCACCACTCACCACTCACAAATCAATCAAAAATCCCCAATCCAACCCACCAATGGCTCGCACCAAGCAAACCGCTAGGAAATCCACCGGAGGAAAAGCTCCCCGCAAGCAGCTGGCCACCAAGGCGGCTCGCAAGTCTGCTCCGGCCACCGGCGGAGTGAAGAAGCCCCACCGCTTCAGGCCGGGAACCGTCGCTCTCCGTGAGATCCGCAAGTACCAGAAGAGCACCGAGCTTCTGATCCGAAAGCTTCCCTTCCAGCGCCTGGTCCGTGAGATCGCCCAGGACTTCAAGACCGACCTGAGGTTCCAGAGCTCCGCCGTGGCGGCCCTCCAGGAGGCGGCCGAGGCGTACCTTGTCGGGCTTTTTGAGGACACCAACCTCTGCGCCATCCATGCCAAGAGGGTCACCATCATGCCCAAGGATATCCAGCTCGCTAGGCGCATAAGGGGCGAGAGGGCTTAAGGTTCCAATGGGGTTTTAGTACAGATTGAAAAGAGTATGATTTGCGCAGGCGAGGTGTTTGATGAAATGTTTATTTTTATGGGGTGTTGGCTTTTGCGTTTAGGGTAGAAAATGTAGGTAAGTATCTGAAAGATTGTAATGTTAACATCTACGTTAATGAAATCCAGTTCCTCTTCCGAAATTCGTTGTGAGTTTAAGTTTGATTTGTGCATTTTAGTTGACAATTAACCCAATTTGTTAACATCGCCGTAACAAACGCCGCGATATGAAACTATACTCCCGACCCTGATGCTCCTGGGAGTCAAAGTCCCCAGCTTGTTGCCGCTTGTTGTGGCGATGCTCGATCATGCTCTCGCAATACTGTGTCATTTGCTCGGAAACTGGTTCGAGGAAGCCAGGTCATGCCTTTCGACAGCGCTCATGGGATGGGGTTGTGGGAATACGAGGGAAGGAAACTCCGAATTCAACAGTGGTTTCAATTAGGCAATGATGAACTCGGTGTTTAGAGATTGCAAGCCAATCTTTGATGGGTTGAGTTCATTGGATCGGATGGGGGTTTTGAAAAGTTGCTAGGATTCTCTGCGAGGCCTTCTCTCAGCTGATGCTATTTCCTCAAGGTACGCAAATTTTCAACTTTTCAATTATGTTATTTTTCGACTATTATGTAACTAAATCAACTGCTATTTACCCTATTTATAACAAGACGGATAGAAGCTCAAAATCACATAAAGTGCTTTTAGATTAGCGAAAATGAATAAAAATGATAAGTACGAACTCATATTAAAATTATTTATCGCATACATGAACAACCAGGTATTAGATCATCAATGTGATATGCTTATCTCAAACTTGAATAATTTGGTGTCTCATTTGTGGTTTTCTCGAGTCCAATCAAGCATGCCATAAAACCGTTTAGTATAATTTATGGGTTTATGCACGTGTAAGCAACTGTTTCAAACATTTTTCTTAAGTTAATTTAATAAATTATAATTATTGAATCATTGTTCTTGCTATGATACATACAATTGGGAGACTTTTCCTACTTTTTCATTTCCACATTAAACAAAGGGTACATGCATAATTTCTTGGGCAAAAGTCTCGCATGCCAACCATATTTTTATAAGTTTCAGATTTTAGCGTTGAAGTATGGCTACTTGGCCAAGACAAATCTGCAAAGTAGAAACCACAACAAAGACCACCAACCAAGTAAAATAGAAAAATTTGGATAGATCATGTCATTACAGAATACATACTTAAAGTCATTACTAAGATAATTTTGACAAAAAGAAAAAAATGCAAGACGTAATCTCTATACTTTAGTCTCATCTGACATTATATCGATTTTACTTAATAATTAATATGAGAGTTGTCGTAATTAGTTAACGAAGTTTCTTTCCAAAGTAACCAAAGAGAAATGCTAAGGAGATTCAAAATGGGACTTTATGAATTCTCTGTCACCTTATAATTTAATGTCAAATTATGTGCCAACATTATAAAACATTGTGTCAAGGAGTCTATGAAGAGTCACTTTTGAGAAAGTCCCTTTAGACTAGGGGTGGTTCAGGTCGGGATCCCGAACCGAAACCCCTAACCCGAATCCCAAACCCCTAACCCGAATCCCAAACCAAAACATTTCGGGATGGGATTTTATATCCCGAAACTATTGGGATCCCGAAATTCGGGATTCCCGAAAGTGTTTCGGGTCACTTCGGGATTGGGCCTTGAAGCCCAAAATGTTGGGCTTTTAAAACTTTTTACAATTTTAAGCTCTTGAACAAGTAAACCCACCCATTTTTCAGAAAAAAAAAAGGTTAACAATTGCAGGCAGCTTGCCTGTTTCAGTTTCACAATATCACAATTTCAGTTTCACATTACCATCAGTTTCAATTTTCATACCAAGGAAGCAACAACTAACAAGTTAAGCTTAAGTTCACAATTGTATACCAAACTAGTTAATTAAAAGTGCATGCAACCAAAATGAAATAAGTTAAGTTTTACAAACCAAAAATCCGAATGAATTTAGATTAAGTTACAAACCAAAAGCAAAACATAGTTTATAAGCAAGAAAGTGCATGCAACCAAAATGAAGCTTAAGTAAGTTCATTCCTTTTTGCCCCTTCGGCCCCTTCCCCTTGTTGTGATTTTTCCCTTCTTTGTAAAATACAATTCTAAAACCGTTGCCGCCACCTTGTGCCAATTTGGAAGCTTGTACTTTGGATTCAAGTCATGGATCCAATCTTTAAAGTCCTCTTGATCAACCACCCTAAAAGGCATCTCCGCTTTTATTATCCACTTCACACATTTCAAATCAAGTCTTTTTTTATTGAAAGTGTGAGCAACAACTTGATCCCCCATCACCCCTTGTGACAACAATGGTTGTTTCGAATCCAGGGTCCTAGGTGTACTAGTAGATTGTGATTGGCTACCGCTACCACTATCACTACCACTACCAGACCCGTCCATCCTGATAATGCACAATAATATATCACAACACACTTCAGCATATATAATATATTCATATAAGATTAAAGCAAGTTAATTGATCCATAAACTGATCCATTCCATAATATATCACACACATTCCATAAACTAATCCATAAACACATATATTATATCAAAGTCAAACACATATTTATCTCAGAATATAATCAAGTTAATTCAATATAATCAGGTTAATTGAATATAATCAAGTTAATATAATATAATCAAGTTAATTTTTGGTTCATCAGTTGAACCAATTTGCAATAACTCAACAAAATACGCAAATAGTTCATAATTCGATATCCGAAATTGCTCCATTAAAGAGGCATTCCCTAATTCCGAATATGTTCACACTCCATTAAAGAGGCATTCAATATCCGAAAATGCTAAAGAACAAAACCCAGTGAAAATAAAAAACCCTAACCTAGATTTTAGGACTCAATGGGTTCCTTCTTGTCCTGCGTCTGCGTGAGTTGTGGAGGATGAGGAGCGGCGGGACTCTGAGTGAAAATGTGAGTCGGCGTGGATTTGACGGAGGCGTGGAGCGACGGGAGCACGGGCGGCGAGACTGTGAGTGAGACTGTGAGACTGTGAGAGAGAGAGAGAAGAAAACTGGTGGGATTCAAACGAAGAAAAAGACGAAGACGAACCTGGACTTCAGCCGGGAAAGCAAGTGCGAGAGGATATCGTCTGGAGAGGACCACGATCGAGCGTGAGAGGACACTACGTCTGGAGAGGAAGGAGACAGCGAGAGGGTTCGCTCCGACTAACTGTGAGTCTGTGAGAGAGGGACTGTGAGAGAGGGACTGTGAGCGAGAGCGGAGAGACCGAGAGACTGAGCGAGAGCAAGAGTGAGTATGAGAGAGAGAGAACACCCAGCTTACAAATGACCTAACCTAACTCAATGGACGATTCGATTTGATTTTAACAAATCCAACGGTTCAAGTAATTTCTAATTAAAAATTAAAAATAAATAAATATATATATATAATAATCGGTTCGGTTCGGGATTACCGAAAGCTTTCAAAGCTGTGGCCGAATCCCAACCCAAACCTTCAGGACGTGTTCGGTTTCGGGTACCGAAGGTTTCGGGAAATTCGGTTCGGGATTTTTTCGGTCAAATTTCAGGACGGGATCGAGACGGTTCGGGATTTTCGGGAAAAAATTCCACCCCTACTTTAGACCATCTCCAAAGGAATGTCAAACTCAAATTATAAAAGTCAAATTACAATTGATGACTGATGTGGCAATTTAAAGTCTTATATCAAATTTTGTATTTTCCAACTGAATCAAATTGTCAAATGTTATTTTATTATTTAAATAGAATTTCAAATGGTTGTAATTATTAAAACAATGTTGGAACAAAATTTATATTGGTTGAAATGTTAGTGAAATAAGGGACCCACCATTAAAATAGATTAAAAATAAATTTGACGTTGATGTCAAATTTGACTTCAAATCACAAAACTTTTGAATTCAGTCACCAAATAACACTTCAGTTGGAAAAACTTTTAATGTCAAGTATACACAGTGGTATTCCACCTAAGATTGATATCTTTAGGGATGCTCTTAACATTTTTCTTCCCCACAAGGAAAAAAAAAAAGAGAGACATTTTTCTTCCCCACAAGAAAAAAGAAAGAGAGAGCCCGCATACCGTCATACTTAAGTATCCTAAAACGCAGATTGGTCATGTGGTCTCAATTAGTTAGTCATAAATAATAATAAACAAATCCGAGTTGCTCTTGCAGGCAGCCCAAATTGAAGTCAAAGCTCCCTTCAACAAATTAATCCATGGAAATTATGATCTCCTTCCTTCCTACCATAATTGGGAAATATATAATAAAAATCCATTCATAAATTAATTAGAATCCACTGAATCCCCCATTTCCTGGATCAGAAGTTAGCAAACCAGCAAAGCAAAATTATGAGTTTTGAAAAGGAGGACCTTGATCTGGTTTTGGTCCCAAGTGGATTGCTAATCATGTTTGTCTATCACATCATCCTTCTCTACAGATATATCCATCTCCCTCATACCACAGTTCTTGGCTTTGAAAACCATGACAAAAGAGCTTGGGTTGAAAGAATCATGCAGGTAAGTACTATCTCTCCCTCTTTCTCAATTAGCGCACCAGATTATGAAGCAACTCAGCTCGACAGACGCAAGTCCAAGAAAAACATGACCTAATTTGGGGCTCATATTGCGTCTGTTGAGCTGCTTTCGTAATCCGATCCGCTACGTATTACCCTAACGTAACCTAATTTTCTTTGTGCCTGATACCTTCAATTGCAGGTTGATAAAAGAGATGTAGGCACAGCCCTAAGTGTGATTTCATCCAACACATCAGCAGCAACTTTTCTGTGTTCCATCTCCTTAACTCTCAGCTCCCTCATCGGAGCTTGGATCGGAAGTAATTCGAGTCAGACAGTCTTCCAGAGTGAATTAATTTATGGAAGCACCGACCCATCAATCCTCACAATGAAATACATAAGCCTCTTAACTTGTTTCCTTCTAGCCTTCGCATGCTTTGTTCAATCAGCAAGGCACTTTGTCCATGCAAACTATCTGATCAGCATGCCGGACAGTAACATTCCGGCGTGGTACGTGCAGATGGCGGTCATAAGGGGAGGTGATTTCTGGTCACTTGGGCTTAGAGCACTCTATTTTTCTTTCACTCTTTTGCTATGGTTTTTCGGTCCGA